GGGCAAAAAGTGTGAGTGTTGCTTGCTCTGCCTTCCATCTCTATACAAAGTTTATTTGGACTAAATGCATTTCACGTGCTACCACAGCTTGCCCCAATTATAGCTAACGTTATCTGAAGGAGCAGTCTGGAGAAGAATGTGGACGCTTGTACCAGGCAGTCTTTATCATTTATTTTTAGAAAGGCAAACGAAGCGATTTTGGCGCTGCAAACAAGAACCCAGGTCCCGGGACTTACCTCGATGAAAACAATGACCCATGGGTAATAATGCGTAGAAAAGCCCTCGACCGAAATAACATTAACTCTACCCGCGTTCTATTCGTTCCACGTTATGCCGATCAAGTGGCGCTGAGGAATGAGCGTGACGTAAGTTAACGAATCTTAAATAACCGTTTATTGTCAGACATTAGTTTTGAAAATAAGACACCATACGGACACCACGCAGTTAGCCACATTTAATCAAATAAAACGGTCTACTCAAACAAAATCAGTAGCACATACGTAACATCTATATCTCGTAAAATAACGCGCTCCAACGAAGGTTTTATGCTCAGTCCGAAATTTTGTATGAACCAGAATTCAGCAGCTTCGCTGGGCTGTCTACGTAATATTCGTAGAATTTCACTGAACAGCTAGTAGTGTATACGTGACCTGATGGCGAAACGCATGCGCTGTCACTACGACAAATCGTGCAATACGTGGTTTCCTGTTTCGATCTCTTATAATTCCCGACTTATTATTGCTTCCAAGAGCAGATATGCATTTAAGATATGGAAGATTGAGCCAAATAAAAGCCTCATGTTGACCATTTTTTTATTTATAATTAATGGGAGGATACTACCCACATTCCACGATAGTATCCTCCCGTGCCGTCTGTCTCCTATCCCAATTTATATACGACGGGATAGTTGAGAACACTATAGTAAATTCCCTAACTCGTTTCATTTCATAAACTTCACAAGAAAATCCCTGTTACTCAAAATAAACCCGAGCTCTGTCCCCGAAAGCCTTACAGTAGTAAAGAAACGATTTTTCTTTAAAAAAGCATGGAATAGCTTTGAAATGACTATGACGTTTTTTAAATGCCAACAGTTTTTAGTGAAGCAGAGAGTTCCGAAAACGTGAAAGATCGTTGTACCTGAATAAACTTAAGTTGTAAGTGTACAGAAAAATACGTATAGATGCGCAAACTGCGTTTAGGAAACCTATTAGCATTGGAAACCACCGGGCTATAAGGCACCATAGATTTCCTCTCAAATCTGTCAAGTGTTTGGCTAATTAACTTATTTATATAGGTACTATGTATGGGAAAAACGCATTTTCTGGAATTTAATAGAACATGCAACCTTTTTTTATTGCCGACAATGTATCTTCTCCCTTTCCGTCATCACGTTTCATGAGATATGTAACCTACTCTAGCTGCATGAACTATCAATGAATAGGCTGTCAGACTTTTAAAACTATGCTAAATTCTCGGTTACATTGGCGCTATCTGAAAACTGAAGTGCTGGTTTTGTCGGTCAATCAATACTCAACTTCGTTGTCTTAGAGGCATTCTGTAACCTTTTCTGCGCACTAAATATGAAGTTCGGGAATGCAGGTCGTTTACTAGTATCAGAAAATGAAAAGGCGATACTTACTTGCCCCCTCGCACAGCCAGCTTATGTTCATGTATGCGCGATCCGAGTGTGCGTTCAGTTTGACCTGTGTAATTACAAGGACAGTTTAGGCATGGGACGTGCGTCACTTATATTTGGTTGGTTTACACCCCCCTGTTATCGTCGTCTTTTTGTTGCTGCAGTTATCTCTGACGATAAACTCCTGTACGAGTTTGAAAGCTCCGAATAATAAACATACTATTCCGATGCTTGACTAGTTTGCTCCTGTTCTCATCGAAGCATCTGGAACGCGAAACTTCGTCTTTATCCACTTACCAATATTTCAGTCCAACTTGTATCTCAGCTCAAACATGTAACAGCACACCTATACAGGTATACGAGTCCCATCAATTTGCGTCCAATCACTGGCATTTGGTCGGGGGTAATTCTGGCTAAAGAAAGAAGCCCGTAACAGTCTTTGTTTTAATCTTTCCTGTCTTGGTTGATCTAACTCTGCTAGTGTTTACTTGGTCGCGTTGTCACCTGGCGGAGTTGCCTTTATACAATTTTCAACACCACAGCACGCAGCTAGTTCGTACTAAAGGTAAATACGATATGTATGCGCCTATTGCAGTGTAGCGGTATTGATTAAGTCCCAGTTTTAAAGTGCCGCTTTTTTGCTCTTTGTCACAGCACGTATCAACTATGCAAGTTGTGTATTTGCATCAGTCCCTGTCCAGTCATCGACATGGCTAAGACTTTATCTGCTGCTGTCCCAGTCTCTCCTCTCTTTTTCGATCCTTCTGACAGCTGTCTACCCTCCTCCCTATTAACTGTCGATGAATCAACTAAACTTACCTTTAAAAGTAAACTTCAAGAACTGTATTTACTTCTCGGAAAACCAAAATAGTAGGTAAAGACTAATTCTAGAAGGATTATCCTAAAAAATTATTTTTGAAAACCACTTGATCTTTTTCTTTCTATTTTCCTTATTGCGAACTCCATGTCACTGAAGTTGGTGGGTGGGCCGGTAAGGATTACCTATCTGATCGCCTAAATAGGGCAAAGGAATAAGAAACTATCACCTTGATAATAACTTCGGCCCTGCGCTTGATTCAAAGAAGAGTACGTATTCCCAGGTTCCAAGCCTAACACAAGCTCTAATGTGAACCTAAAACAAAGTCCTAATCTTAATTCTAATTCCACTCTAAACGCGAACACTTCAATTTATACTGACTGTAACCTTAGCTCTAGACTAACCTCTGACTGACTTTAACGGCAACCTTCACCTGCAATCTAAATATGAACGTATCTCTCACTCTAACCATAAACCTAGCCGTATTTGTCTTGGAATTTGGCGCAAAGCTTTGCGAACGATTCCCATTCCTATTTAGCGGCAAAATAATTCAACCTTTCCGTTATGTCCTCAAGCAATACGCCCACTGATCGGTATTATTTATAGCAAAATCCGCGTTTTCAGACACTGGCTGGACATGATTTTTTATTCACAGTGGCTAATGTACCTCTATTGCAACTTTCCCAACAGAATTTTCCGGGCCCAGGCTACTATGATCTTACAAAGTCGGAGGATGAAGGTGAGGCTGACAACGACAACCACCCTCCGTTTAACATATCCGCTGATGTGAGTGCCTGTGGATTTGCAGATATTTTATAATTTTAAGGTTTGAACTTGACGCTCCCCTTGATCCATTTGCAA